TATATAAAACCCCCCCCCAGGAATCCCCTCTTTCCTCTAAGATGTATGTAAAGCACTTTCTCCCCCCCCCCCAACATAACTTTGCCATTTCCTCTATAAGCACTTTTTATATTTTTCCTTTATAAGCACTATATTTCCTTTATAAGCACTTTTTTTTTTTTTAAATGTGGTTGAAACCATATAGCTGGGAAGTACTGGCAAAAATAAATGGCTTAAGTATGTATGTTTGGGGGAAAAAAGGGGTAAGAGGGAGGAAGAGGAAAAGGGGGAGAGAGAGAGGAAAAGGGGGAGAGAGAGAGGAAAAGGGGGAGAGAGAGAGGAAAAGGGGGAGAGAGAGAGGAAAAGGGGGAGAGAGAGAGGAAAAGGGGGAGAGAGAGAGGAAAAGGGGGAGAGAGAGAGGAAAAGGGGGAGAGAGAGAGGAAAAGGGGGAGAGAGAGAGGAAAAGGGGGAGAGAGAGAGGAAAAGGGGGAGAGAGAGAGGAAAAGGGGGAGAGAGAGAGGAAAAGGGGGAGAGAGAGAGGAAAAGGGGGAGAGAGAGAGGAAAAGGGGGAGAGAGAGAGGAAAAGGGGGAGAGAGAGAGGAAAAGGGGGAGAGAGAGAGGAAAAGGGGGAGAGAGAGAGGAAAAGGGGGAGAGAGAGAGGAAAAGGGGGAGAGAGAGAGGAAAAGGGGGAGAGAGAGAGGAAAAGGGGGAGAGAGAGAGGAAAAGGGGGAGAGAGAGAGGAAAAGGGGGAGAGAGAGAGGAAAAGGGGGAGAGAGAGAGGAAAAGGGGGAGAGAGAGAGGAAAAGGGGGAGAGAGAGAGGAAAAGGGGGAGAGAGAGAGGAAAAGGGGGAGAGAGAGAGGAAAAGGGGGAGAGAGAGAGGAAAAGGGGGAGAGAGAGAGGAAAAGGGGGAGAGAGAGAGGAAAAGGGGGAGAGAGAGAGGAAAAGGGGGAGAGAGAGAGGAAAAGGGGGAGAGAGAGAGGAAAAGGGGGAGAGAGAGAGGAAAAGGGGGAGAGAGAGAGGAAAAGGGGGAGAGAGAGAGGAAAAGGGGGAGAGAGAGAGGAAAAGGGGGAGAGAGAGAGGAAAAGGGGGAGAGAGAGAGGAAAAGGGGGAGAGAGAGAGGAAAAGGGGGAGAGAGAGAGGAAAAGGGGGAGAGAGAGAGGAAAAGGGGGAGAGAGAGAGGAAAAGGGGGAGAGAGAGAGGAAAAGGGGGAGAGAGAGAGGAAAAGGGGGAGAGAGAGAGGAAAAGGGGGAGAGAGAGAGGAAAAGGGGGAGAGAGAGAGGAAAAGGGGGAGAGAGAGAGGAAAAGGGGGAGAGAGAGAGGAAAAGGGGGAGAGAGAGAGGAAAAGGGGGAGAGAGAGAGGAAAAGGGGGAGAGAGAGAGGAAAAGGGGGAGAGAGAGAGGAAAAGGGGGAGAGAGAAAAAATGATTAAAAAAGCAAAAAAGATTTAAAAGATAAGATTAAAAAAGATACTTTTACAAAGATGAAAAAAGATTTTAAAAAAATACGAAAACATTTTAAAAAGATGAAAATATTTTTAAAAAAAGATAAATAAGTTTTTTTTCAAAAAAGAAAAAAGATAAGAGGCAGAGGAAAAAGGATAAGAAAAAGAAAAAAAAAGATAAGAAAACGAGAAAAAAAAAAAAAAAGAGGGAGGTTTGCTGCCTTCCCCCTCCCCTGGAGGGCAGGTGAGCGGCGCAGAGAGCCGCTTTTATGCTTTAGCGTTGCCTTTGTCTCTGAGGAGGTTTGTTTTCCGTGTGATGCAGGGTTGGGTTGGTAAGTAAGCTCTTTTATTGACTAATTCAATTATCCCTTTTCCCCTCCCCGCCACCAAATCAGTCCCGAGATGGTACTGTTTTCGCGCAAGCCGTGAGTTGATACCGTGTGTGTATGTGTGTGGCCAAACCAAGCAGAATTCCTCCCCCCC